GGAGATAAGCGGGTTCTACTGTGATTACCGATTGTGTTTACAACTGCGCACATCGATCTCCTGACCAGAGGTGAACGTGGGTTGACAAAGAGCTGATCTGTCGAATCCTGAAGAGTTCTTGCCTGTCAGTATCCAGTCCTTCGCCATACCATCACAGCAGCACCGCTCGGCAAGCGCTGCGTGCGCCTTTTTTCTCTCCTCCTATCCTACTATCCATAGGGGCCAGAGGTCTTTAAATGTCTTTTGCGCCGGCTGCGGTCTCTTATGCACGTATTGTGAACTAGTCTACTTTGACTGACAAGTATCCGCAGGTACGCTCGCCCTCGACTCCATGGTCGCTCCTTCTTTCTGAAATATAAACTGTAACCTGAATTAGCAAGGTGTCAAAAGTTTCGAATGAAAAAGGATGTATACCGACCGACGCCTTATGTAGACCTGGAATACACCCTTTGCTTCTATGGGCTTGGATCATTTTAGTCAGCTCGGAAAAAAAAACGATTTACTAGGTTCATTTTATCTCATTCACTAGACGCAGCGATTTCCTGTCTTTCGGCTTTTATAGAAGGCTGCACACCTTAATTGCTCGTCATGAGCCCTACATTTATCCCTCAAGTCTTCCTCATACAGTCATCGAAATAGGGTGCCGGGTTTTGGATTCAAAGCAAACCCACCTTGGAACTTATACTATATATCCTACATAATTTCGATCACGAATATTGAGAGAGCAGGGAAGAAGACGAGGAACACTCGGCTGCATATTTTCTTCAGTACAGCGGTCCTTCCTGCCATAACTTGCGCCTGGAAGACTTGAACTCCACGAAAGCAGGATGAATATGCGGTCAGCTTTATTCAACGCGCCATCAGAAAAGCGATGCTTGGAGTTCCGCACCACACGCATGTGAGAGTGGGAATTTGGAGTTCCACACTCCATCTGCGATCGAAGTCAGGGATGCGGCCGCATTTCCCAAAGTTTTGAAGCTCAGGTGAGCCGGGCACGTCATGCGTTTCGAAGAGGAGTGGTGGACCAAAGCGGTTACCGTCTGGATTCCACGGGACATCAGACGAACACCCGACCGACTAGTTAATAGTCAGACTTCTTTGTGGGAGCTCTGAACATAGGAGCGATGAAGACATTTTTGGGGTTCGTTCAAGCAAATTGATGATCAGTGAGGGCGCGGGTGCTACGGGTGTGAGTAATTCCACCTCATCCTAGGTTCACAATCACTGTTGTTCAATTTCCAGACTATCCTATCTCCGATAATAGATCCCAGTGTCAATATGGTGGGGCACACTTCTGCGGCTCTGCAAATACTTTATAAATCCAAATACATGGACAACGATGGTGACTATTCAGAGCTGGAGTGAGGTTATTGAGAGCTTCTTCATGAAAACTGGGAATCTCTGAGAGTCGCTGTTTTCAGTGTCAAGGGTTCCTCGCTCTGGGACATGCCAACGAATGGACGCTCGCTGAGTGCAAGTGATTTTGAAGGATTTGTCAAGAACCTACAAAACATGTACCGAGGTTTGCTTGAACTTCCTCTGTTCTTCCGCTCCAATTCAAGGAATTTTTCCGGCTGATTGAATCCTATTGAACGTTTTCCCTATCAAGGACTTGTCGAAGACGAAAATTTGTTGGCCCGTCTTCGTGACTCTCGATTCGATGTCGCCGTGCATGAGATCTACGAACCATATCAAGTGGGGGTTTTTGAGGTGAGGAATGCTTTAGGAGAAAAATTTCCACGAGATCCTAACGGGCATTTAGCTGATTGGCGTGAAGAAAACTGTGGCCGTGTCTACCATTGGAGTCACGCCATACGTTCGAGAAATCACCGGTGTTCCTCCAAACCCAAGCTATGTCCCAGGTATGTCTTCCTTTTTTGCGAGCAGCCTTCCGAGGGCGATGCGAAAAGCAAGTCAATTACGCTGTTCTGTTCTAGTCTCGTAAAGTACGAGTTGACCCAGTTTTCAGGTACATATACCACATACAGCGATGAAATGACCTTCTGGGAACGTCTGGACAACTTCAAATTCGAATTGGAGTTGAACTATCTGTCTCTCAATTGGGAAAGGACAACATTCTCATATTTCAATAACGTCCATCCGGGTTTTCCGGATTTTCGAAGGCTACTGAGGGTAAGCGCATGGAAAGAATTCAAGGCTGGATGGGGTCAATGATGAGTTTTCAGCTGTTAACTGATTAGTAAGTGGTAAGAAGGGAGGAAAACTTGTCAGAAACACCTTGAAAAAGGCTGTAATTTTTCATTAGGCGAGCATTCAAACAAGTGAGTGGTGGAAAAACACCGCGATTGTGATGAGAGAGCAGAAACAGGGGATGAGAGAGCGCAAAGGCGAGCGAGATTTCAGACACGCCCATGCACAGAGTGAACTCGAAGACGGTCATCTCTGGGTGAGATCTTCTTGTTTGTGGGCAACTGTGGCTTATAACGGCTCCAACTCCCTTTCTGGCAGAACCTATGGTACTCGTTGACCAGGGTGCCTGGTGAAGTCATTATCTTCGTCAACGAGTGGGCCTGTGAAGGGCTTTGATCGGAGCGCAGCCAGGGCAGCCTTTCACACGAACAATTGCCAGTCAGGATGGCATTGGTGGTGAAAGCCGCCCCTGCTGCGCTCCAACCCCTCTCACTTGCAGGAACGAAACTGACTGTACAAAGGAACGATTCGACATAAGAGACAATAGTGGAATGTGTCTTCAATTAGGAAAGCTGATGTAACATAACAAATCTTTTCAATTGCAGCAAAAAGTTGGAATTGTTCTACTAAATGTGAACGAATTCATAGAAACGCCTCGACCTATAGCCAACATTATTCGATATATCGGAGGAGTGGCCATACGTGAACCGAAACCGTTAGATGAAGTGCTGTAATGTTTTGAAAAGACTGAATACAGTGCAGGGTAGCACCAAAATTATTTTCTACATATTACAGGAACTCAACAATCTTCTCAACCAGCGACCTACAAACGTTCTTTTCTCATTGGGTACATTCACTGGATCAAAGGATATGCCATTGTGGCTGAAAAAAGGTTTGCTTCAAACCGACATATTCCGAGAAGATAGGAGAGTCACTTGAAAACAGCCCTAGCGACTGCCAGTCGGTCCGCAACCGCAAAGGACGCCCCACTCTCGCCGCTCGAAGCTGCTTGATATCAGCGGTAATGCTTTGCCACGCTTTACCGTCTCTGCCCATTATCATATTAGATGCGAACAGTGGTATCTAACAAGGGAGGTCGTTCAGGTCGTGGTGAGCTTTTCAAAAACGGTTTGTTGCATGATGTAGGGGTCCATGCAAGGACCACACAGATGGGGTTCATTTTTGCTAAACGGTATTGGGAATGCCAAAAGGGTCGAAAAATTTTGAAAAGATGGGCTATTTGAACCACCTTATTCAGCTCCTTTCTAGCTGTATCGTTGAGAGTGTATAGTTTATGAGGTGAACTTTGAGTAGACATGAAAAACAACGCAGAAGAAGGTCAAAATCCAAGTACTTTACCTGGCATGTGGTGAGCTACATTGAAGTTTCATCGTCATCCCCGCATGCTTCTTCAATGGCTCCCGCATCTCACCCGTCGCAGTGGATAGTGCGACGGACTCTCAATCTACTGTGCCAGGTAAAGTACTTGGATTTTGACCTTCTTCTGCGTTGTTTTTCATGTCTACTCAAAGTTTCACCTCATAAACTATACACTCTCAACGATACAGCTAGAACGGAGCTGAATAAGGTGGTTCAAATCGCCCATCTTTTCGAATTTTTTCGACCCTTTTTTGGCATTCCCAATACCGTTTAGCAAAAATGAACCCCATCTGTGTGGTCCTTGCATGGACCCCTACATCATGCAACAAACGTTTTTAAAAAGCTCACCACGATTCTCCCCTGTAAGTGAGTACAGAAATATGAGGATTCCGACGAAGATCACTATACAGCAGTAGTGAAATGATTTGATAATGGGGGGAGGGAGATAAAACGTGGCAAAGCCTGCCGCTGATATCATCCAATTGCGAGCCGCGAGAGTAGGATGTCGTTTGCTGTTGCGGACCGCACCACCTGGTCCAAGTAAGTGTCTATGCACGTTGGGTAACCGCAGAGACTGTTTAGACGTGGAGCCGCTCTTCTTTCAGAGACGCATTTCGCGATTGCCCGTCGTGGCTTGATTCAACTATGAAGTTGTAAATGTTAGTAGACCCACCAGAGGAGAGAGAGATCAGAAAAAAGAGAAAGAGACCAAACATCCACGTGATTGACACTAACATCAGTAAGCGGAGACGTAGAACACAAGTCTTTAGCAGCATCGCCACGAATTTTTGACCCGAGAGAAAGGTACACCCCGTCCGACGGCGGAGTTGCTTACCTTTTGTACAGAAAGAACTCATAAGTCAGGCAATCGCGGAGTGTGCTCCCAAGATCTTCCCGCAACAGCTCGCATAACTATGGAAGCTGTAGGAATCCAACATTCTGATCACTCTATTATTCAGATATAATAGAAGCCTTTGCAAGTTTCCCCAACACAACGTTTATTTGGAAATATGAAGATGAAAGTGATTCGGAATTGTTCGGTACTCATCAGAATATATATCGAATGAAATGGGTACCACAGATGGATCTGTTAGGTGAGCATACTTTTTGTCCCCCAGACCTCGGTCTCCTCGTCCTATCAGTTCACTGTAGAACAGGATCGCATTCGGTCCTGTCCTATAGTGAATGTTGTGTGAATGTGTTCGGTTTGGGGGCTTTTGGAATGGGCTAGACCTGCCGGCACCAGACCTGTTCATGTCATAGAAAGTCTGAACGTATGCGGATTTTTTTGCGAGCTATCTATCTTTCTTATCGGGCCATTTGAATGTTGTTTGAATTCGAATTGTTTTCAAATTCGGTTCCATAGTAATGCTTTCAGCCGATAAACGACTGTCTCTTTTTATCACACACGCTGGAATGAATTCTATTCTTGAAGCGACATTTGCCGGAAAACCTATGGTGGCCATACCCCTTTTTGGGGATCAGTTCCTTAATGCACGAAATCTTCGACGACAAGGAAGAGCAGTGATGATTGAAAGAAACAGTCTCAACAGGGACACTCTAATAGCGGCGATACGTGAAACGCTTGCAAGTGAAGCGTATCGTGTTACATTTCTAAGGGCTTCTTTTCTTCTTCTTCTTCTGTCCCTTTTCGGTGGAATCGAAATTTTGCGGTAGATTGATTTCTAACCAAAATCATAGCTGCATGGGAATTGTATTGAGCTCTCTTCAACATTGCATTGGAGCTCTTTGACAGGTTCGATGCCTAACCCACACATTGTTGACGAGCGGAACAAGTGGCTCCCGGAAAACCTTAGCAAGGGTGAAACTGGGGTCTCTGTCACATTTCAGAGTGCGTCGAGCGCTTGACCTTTGTTCAGAATTGAAGGGGGACTCCCTTCACTGGAGGTCCTACATATGCGATCCGCGGCAGAAGCCAGTGTGTATGGAGCGTTTTTGCTCTTTTGCTCTTTTCTATCACCGCATAAACGCCACAAAATCGGCTGATTTGACGGGTTTGTCGCCATAGACTGCCTGCCTAATGCCCTTTTCGCCGCTGTACTTTTGCTACACTTTGAGACGAAGAACATTTTGAAGAAGATTATTCAGGTTCTAATTTGTTGGTTCAAAGCGAATGTTCCAGCACTTACGTAGGGAGAGCAGCCACTGTGGCACGACTTCTTCGTGGGCGAGCAGCAGCTGCGCGTGCTGAGGTGTCGTACTGGGTGAAGACGGTTGCGGAACAGGGCCAAATGGACCATCTGATGATGCGTGCTAGAGATTTATCATTTATTCAGTACTATTGCCTTGATATTATCGCGTACTTGTTAGCTCAATTTGTTATCGTTCTTTGTTCAGTGTTTCTTGTTATTAAATTTCTCTTCAGATGGAGTGTCCTTTTATTGGAGAAGCGGAAAATTGAATAAAAATTGTCGAAATTTGACTGCATCATTTTTTTGTGCTTTGATTCCGATACTACCAACCTTCAAAGAAATGACTTTTACCTCTTCACTGAGTAGAAAACCACAAGATAAAGTGTGAAGTGTCAGGTATGCTACAGAGGAAATGAACAGGAGCGCGTGATAAGGGCAGCTGTTCCTAACCAGTTCTGAATTTCTGACAGGAATTGATGCGTCGTCCAAAATGCATTGCACGGTCATTGCAAACTGTGCGCTTTACATAGAAGGAGGTGCTCAAGCTGCAGCTTGTTCACAAGATATCGCAGCTACATTTACAGCGACCAAGACCGAATCCCAACCGAGTCAGTTAGCTTCAGAATTAGTTGGTTTGTCGAGATCAAGCACGAAAATCGGGGATCTGACCGAGTTGGAGAAATAAAGACGCTTTCATATTTTGCGTGAGCCCTTTGAGAGTGCAGGGGTTTTGGCCGTTTTGAGAGGCTAGGGAAGCATGGGTACGATCAAGCGTCTTGAGCGTCTACGCCAGCATTCTAACCGCTTTGCAGTTAGTCGCTGAAAACCCTGGTGAACGCTCAAAGCCTGACGCAAAGTATGTACGCACTCTAACAGTGATTCGTCTGAGGCTAGGGGACCTACGTCAATACGCCCAAGAGACACTACCCCCCCCCCCCTTACAAGATGGTCAACATAATAAATTCCAGCGTGAAAGTCCTACGGTCATCTCAGATAGCAGTGAAAGGCATACGCTCGGTTCTCTCCAAGAAGAGTAGCCCGAGCCGCTAATAGTTTGTTAATCGGTTTGGTTCATACTGACATTCCTGCAATGAGAGGCAGTGTAAGCGGGGCGGCGTTTCGGTTTCTTCGTTGATGATTCTTTGATCAGAAGTTTCACAACTTTGTGATGACATCCTCCTCCTTCCATATCATGATCTCCTCATTTTGGTGCTTTACCTCGAAGTCCGGACCCGCATCTACTACCCTTTCGTCATTTATGTTGGGACAATTTCAGTCTTATGTGTGGAAATGTCCTAAGGATAAGCATTAGTAAACGAGTTCGCTCTTGACGACAATAGCGTTTCCACTGCGCCCCTTCCTTACCCAGTAGGTACGGTTATCACCACAATCTTCGGGGCACAACTCTATTGGACAACCCACATTGATTTTACCAGCGCTGATATGGTTTGTCGTTGTTGTTGTCGTTCATTTCTTCTCAAGTTCGGGCTGTCAAAAGTTATTTGAATCAGATAGAACTCTTCATTTAGTTCTCTTGTTGCCAAATCAAACTGTCAACTGAATGGAACGACAAGACATCTGGGGTAGTTGATGTCACTTTGCTGCGAAATTTACTCCCTCCACTAACCTGCTCATTTTATTTGCACCAGTCGGATCGACCGTTCGGCGGGCGATCCCCCTTCCGCGTGTGAAGTGGGTATCGCTCCAGCGTTTTTCCTGTGTCCAGTTTTCGTCGAAAAAAAATTTTCAAAAATTACCGAACTTTACCGTTTCATTCGTACTCGTATATACCCCCCTAGAAGAAAGTCGTCGAAATTTTCTATAGGAAACCCTTCTTGTTGAGGATTCGCAGAATTAACTATTGCTGGGGGCCCTAACCGTTTGATACACCATGCACTGCTTACGGGTGTCTCCCTCTCAATTCATCTACCTACCCGCTGCTCAGTTTCACTCATACTCCCCGTTTCTCGGTGTGCTCCGTATGGGTTTGGAGATTTTATCCTCGGCTTGTCCAGTTTGGCTAATGCCGCCCAATTTGGCAGGGACTAGCGTGAAGATTGGTGTGGTGCTCCTGCAAATTAACTGGCTTCATGCCCCTGCGTTTAATCCCAAGCACAATCAGTTTCTTTTGAAAGTGATTTACACGAAACCCCAAATTTCAGGCGGTCGGGCAGACGCACAGACAACAGACAACTTCTGGTTTATATATAAACCAGTCGGATCGCCCGGCTAACGCCGAGCTCTCCTCCTTATTGGAAGCCCGGCTTCGCCGGGCTCATGCAACTGCTCTGAGGCTCACTTCTTAGCTCGTGAAAGAAAGGAGCAAAGTAAGGCATAAGCAGGGCGATACTACTGTCTAGGCATTCATGATGCTCTCATGGTGACTAACCGCTGTCTTCTAATCAAATAAATGTAGAAACGCGCCATATGATCGCAGGGCACTTTCATAATGAAAAGTTCAAAATCTGGTCATGGATAATCGATTACTCTCATCCCCATCTATGACAGCCATGGATGCTTCGGTCTCCGCAGTCGCTGCGTGCTCCTGTTCAGGCGAGCGTCGGTCGCGTCAATATGGTACCCATTTAACTCACCTATCCCCAAATTACCCTCAGCTATTCCCCTCACCTATCCCCATAACCTCAGCTATTCCCCGCTCAGCCACCCTACAGGTCACGCTCAGCTGCTACACGAATAGCCCGTGCAATGGTTCTGAGTGCACTAAATGGTTGGTTGTGGAGGGTGTCATGACTATCAAAACGCTGCCACAACTTGATAATGCAACATTAATCGGTTCAGTTCCGATTGCGGTCGATCCCTTTTCTTCTCATCTTATGGCAACCGTAGACGCCTTACCGCCGCAGGCGCTATGTGCTCCTATTCGCGAAATCGCCTCATCTGGTACCCCTTCACCACATCATATCCCATTTGTCTGACACTCCTAACCGTCGCCCACTCCCGCACGTGGTATGCAGCCGCCACGTGAGCAGCTGGTGCAACATAGGACACTACGCCGCCACTGTTCTCGTGCTCACGTCCAGCTCCCAAGCGATCAGCTCCTGCAATAGCACAGAGTCTATCAAAGTGGTAGGCTTAGATAGCGAGAGCGATTCAGAATCCAAACAACTTCTTAGTTCGTTGCTGTAACATGGATTACCTTGAAGTTTTGCTAGCGGTTGTTTCCTTCTCTCTTGCCGCCTGCTCCTATTCATGCGAACGCTACGCATCCCCTTACTGTGTACCCAGTTTGCCCGATTCAATCCATATGCCTCCTTCCCCTGCATGGGCTCAGATCCGACTGAGTGCGCGCAAGGGAGTGAGGATGGGGAGAAGGGGGTCACTCGATACTAACTCCCACCTTCCTCATCCTCACCCCATTTCCGTACTCGCCACTCCATCCCCCCCACCCACCACCTTTGCTCCTTGCATCCACTTCTGAAGATACGTCCAACTGCCACGCGAGCAACCCGTGCAATGGCTCGGAGTGTAGTGGTTTTCTTATATCGTGGAGAGTGTTATCACAACCAAAACAACTTCTTAGTTCGTTACGGTAACATAGAATGGCTTGCAGTTTTGTTAGCGGTTGTTTCCTCATCCCTTGGTGCGCGTTTCTACTGAAACGCGCGCTACGCACACCCTCACACTGCACCGGCCCGCCACCGCGACCCTCACTCTGCTGCTGCCCGAACATAGGTGGCCCAGCTCGCGGCTGAAGCCACGGTGCAGGAGAGGGAAGCAGGCGACTGGGCACCCCCACCCTACCCCCGCAGCAAGGGACGATTTCGGTACACTGCCATTGGCCCACGGCAGCAGCTTCGTGCAGAGTGGCTGCGGAGTGTAGCGAATGTTTGTCTTCTATAGGCGGAGGCTGTTATCAAAATGGCAAATCATTGATTGCTCCGCCATCCTCCCAATGGTTACCGGTTTGCCTAGCGGTCGTTTTCTCCTCCAGCGAACTCGAACCCGTGAAGTATTGTGCGGACGGACAGACAAACATACATACCTACAAACCTACATACAAACATACAAACCGACACACAAAGTTTACTGTTTATAGAATGTAAGGATTTACCGCCCAGCCCACCTGGCGACCAACTCCATTTCTAATGGTTGCCTGATGGTGGTTGTTCCATTGCTGCTTCTCTCCACGTCGCGTGTTGAGAGTGAGGTGATAAGGGCCTGTTGAGAAGTGCTACTGCCGTATTTTTCATTGTATCATCATGTGTGTGATATCACAACTGCATATTTCAGAGTGATTCTAGTCGTTCTGAACCCAGACATTCGAAGATATTTGTTAATCATAGCGAAGCCTTTTCGAAAGGAGAAGGTGACTGTCGTGGTTCAGAGGCAGTCGCCCTTCAAACCCCTCAAAACACGACGCATCGAGGCGGTTCAGAGTCCCCGTGAGCCCCGCACCCAAGAACTCACCCAGGGTCCTCCTCTCGGGACCGCACTGGTCTCTCCCTAGTGCAGACCTCCGCTCCCCGAGGGTCTAGCAGGTTTCCTATCCCAGGGGGTTGCGGGGGGAACTTGCGGTAGCACTGTCCCCAAGCGGCTGGTCTACCCCTGGCCCGGCCACAAGGACCAGCCCAGGGATTCCCTGGCCGCTCGAACGCACCGGTAGGGACAAAGCAAACAACACAAGCCTACAACATGACATGACACAAACGACCTACAGCGTCCTATATTCAGGCGCCCTGGCGCTCCCCTGTGCTTGCCCTGATACATGAACAAACAACACAAACTATAAACACTCACATTTATTGTCGCGGGAAACCATGAACATCTGCCAACCTCTTCTTCTACTCTCATTCCTGCCGTTGTGGACGACCAATCCATCGGACCATAGTTGACATAGTTCGCGGTAAAAAACAAAAAGAAAAGGGCGCCCCGGCAAAGGGTTTACTCCTGGCCGGACTGCGCGAGTGATAGTCCTCGTGGCGACAGGTGCCACTAGGAGCTTGCACTCCACGTGAGCCTGACATTGACCTTCTCTGCAGGCAGGAAAGGAGTACTTTCCTCCCCGCAGGGAAGGGATGCCAAGAGAGCAACGCTGCGCGGAGTCTCTCGCCGGCCGCTTTATATAGCAGCACGCAGCGGGACATCACGTGGCCCGCGCCTATTGGTTGACGCGGAGCAGCGCATAGTTTGGCCGTAGGGCGCGACAGAGCTCAGGCGCCCGGTGAGCCCGGCGACAGTGACCACAGTAGTGTGCAAGAAGCTCCCTAGATAGTTACAGTGGCGCAGCAGCTGTAATATCTGCAATTGTTCCT